GAACGATCTGTTGCTGGCGACCAATGGCCTGAGAAAACTCAGGCGGACTGAAACTGGCGCCTTTGTTAGTCTGAAAGGTGTAAGGAAGTATTTTCAAAATTTTGCTGCGTGGAAAGCCCCATGGACGGGTTGAAAGACAATAAAAGACTGCACTGCGCCCGGTAGAAGTAAACATGCTGAGGCGGAATGAGATCTGAGCCGCAGTAATAAACGTTGCCTAATATTAATCTACAATGCTACTTCTGTCAATCAGACAGAAACTTGGCAACTCTGCAGTTAAATTTTAGCTAGTCTTGGATGATTCAATATGATATCAACAACTCGGTTACATAAATATTCAGTGATGCATGTAGTGAGGTAGTAGAATTCCCTGTTCAAGCCATCAAGCGCTGTCAGTTGGGCTTATTTAGTTTTCGATCATAATGGACTCGATAGTTAAGGACCTATTAGAATCAGTTCCAAATTACGTACTCTGTTAAATGCTGCAGTCCTGTGCAGTGAAGGCGGAAAAAGTGTGGAAGGAGTTTTTTGTAAAATGACGTATCAGTGAGAATAAAACTGAATGCATGATGGGCTTGTTCTGCAAAGATAAGACATCAGCATGTCATAGACGTTGGAGGCAATCTGCTGCTTTAAGTTCCATCATTAGGATATACTGGTTCTCTTATGGAAGAATCGTATAGCAAATCGTCAGCTAATAGCGAAGACAAATTTCGAAAATGACAATTATGTGAGAGAGGAACGCCCAGGCACCAAAGTCCGCTGATCGACAATAAGAGCTGCAATATTTTACAGACTTGAAGGGCGGGCTGCTCTGAAGAGGTCAACAGTGACTGAGATTGTTCAGATGATTGCATGACTAAGAAGAATCACGTCTGAAACTCTTCCATAAAAGAATCAAATTGACTGGCCATTTGTAAGGAAGACCTGACAAAGTACGTAATCTGCATCATGTACAAGTTCTAGTACTAGTTCTGAATAGGTAAAGAAGAGAAAAACTGGTTTAGCGATGGCGATTGCTTATCTTGATGGCGTACGGTCCAATCGGTGCCGTTCAGCGAATCTTAACAGGAGAAGAAATAATGAGCGCTTACTTTACCATACAGATCAGTTCTGTGCGTCACACCGCATAACATGAATTTCAGTCACTGGCTGGTACTTTTATAAAGACTTACTTCCTGTTGACTTCCGGCATATACCTGGTTCTAGAATGGCCGTACCTCGCGATCACCAGAATTCCGATAATCAGCTGTGAGTTTCTGGAATGTTGCGCCTCCCAAACACAGCTTCTTTGGAGATGGAGGTTTTACGCTCGAATATTCCAGGGCAGTTCAAATGCCGCGCTAAAAGGGTAGCGCGTGATGGTATAAAAGGCAGCATTAAATTGAGGCTGCTACAGTGGCTTTGATTAGTTGTCAGAGAACGCTAAGAAATTGACTCCAGTTAACCCCATTAAAAACAAAGGCACTACGCTACTAATCAGAAGAATTTAAATAATCGGACATTTTGGTCACTCCTACTATTAAATATTTGACATGTCAAGTGAATGGTATGCTTATCAGTTGATAACTTTCTGAAAGTAGATGATCAGTAATCTGAATTGGTTTACATTGAAATGATCCTTTGTTACTTTGAAACTTTGGACAACATGCTGAAAGAAAGAAATTCCGTTTTTCCAAGTCGCATGCCAAATGATTATATCATGATTTACACATTCTTTGCATGTAGGTATTTGAAAAGTCCTTAACCGACCAGACTTCACTGGTGTCCATAATGACAGTCAACAACGAAATTGGTGTTAGGCAGCCTATTACGGAAATAGGTAACTTTAATCAGTGTTTGTCATTATCATACTCAGTGTACACGGTACGTTTGTCACGACGGTCATGTAGCATATGGCGGGCATATTATAGTTAATACTAAGTTTGATGCATATTTGTCTCCAGTTTTAGTTTAATCGATATGTATTCTTTTGTATTGAAGGGTGCCCGTCAATACATAGTCTGTACGTTGAAAAAAGGTATAATAATCATTTATTTTTTGGGCTTCGGTCTCCTTTATACTTCCGTAACGAACGGTCTTAATGACGCTCTTGTTTTGCAAAATTCATTTTGCACTGCCTTCTCTTTTATTCGTATAGACTTTCTGATGCCATCAGCCAGGGTTACATCTGCAAATCTGTGGCAACTGTAGAGTGTAGTTTCATGTTTCCTTTTAGATAATGTCACTCATTAATCCACTTCAGAACAAAGATACACAAGCAACCAGACCACTATTGAAAATTTGTGAGAAATCGTTTGCCACTGCCTTGTAGTAGTTACGTATTTTGAGCTCAATCCATTCCATGGACATCACCAATCCGTCATCTTATGCCCGTTCAATTTTTTAGTTTTATTGCAGTTTGTCTACTTCGGTGCAGTGTTTCATCCTGGCAGCAAAAACTCGAAAATCATGCGTACTCTATATATTTCATTCGTGCACGTATATTCAAAATTAAAACAGTACACAGTATATTTATGCATAACGCAAAGAATTTGGTCAGTCAGATGACCGACCAGTGCCTGCGTTTCGGCACGTGTGTCATTATCCTTCTTCGAAGTATAAAGGCGGATTGACTTCAGAAGTTTATTTGCCATTTTCAGCGGATTGTAATTCTGTAGCCAGGTGACAAGGTTGTAGTCTGTAATGTTGGTTAAATAGGATCTTGACGACAGGGCAGCAAGGCTCATCCAACTTGAGCAGAGTTCTTATCATTTGTAACGGATGAAGTTGTTGCAGGATACATTGGTAAATGCCTCTTTGTCATTGTTGTTCAACCAGTGTCTTTCTTTGATGATGCCAGTTCAATCTGATTGTCGGAGTATGCTATTTCTGTGCCCGTTTTGCACAATGTCGAAGATTTTTTCGCATTTTCTTTTGACCTGGCTTGGAGCAAGGCTTTGTTTTGTTCCTGAATGCTTTAATAGTACATGTCGTTCACGCTCATCCGCGATAATCCATCTTTTCTTATTTTACACCTTCGACAGTTTTTGAGTGACAAGCGAAACCCTCCATAGTAATGTTTGTACCTAGATACACAGACAGTTACTGACTGTGAGTTATCGCTGCCTGAAGAAAGATCGAGCATGATGAAACGGTGTAGAACTTCTACCTACTTTTTGAGTTCTGAACCAAATTCTCGCATAAGAGAATCCACCTTCGTGTTTAAAGTTATTAACGAATGAAATAAAATTTATTGTTTTTGTTGTTCATTAAGAAACTCATTACGTCAGATTTTTGAAAATCTATGTACTGTTGTTATTTAACCGATTATGTGAGTTGAAGTTTAATTATTTCAATTATAAAATTAAAGACTCGAAGAGTCCGTGACGGGATTACACTGCATATAAAATTTTTCTCTGTGCAGGTTATCGAATGTTTCAGATCATACACGATCTGTTTTCAGAAAGCGACATAACACAGGTATGATGTAACAATTTTCGTAATTGCATTTAGATATAAATTTCATGGTGGATGTTTTAGCCTCTAAAATATAAGTTGCTTCATAATTTTCTGCAAACTTAATTCCATACCGACATCTTTATCCAAACATTGGTTTGTTTGTATTACTAATGCTTCTTTTATCTTACGGTTTAGAAAGTTTTGCTTCTGGTGTATTCCCATCATCTAGTCCCATAATATGCCGTGTTGTTCTTCCACCGTGGGTTCCACTGTCGCGAGTTCTTTCATTCCTTCTTCTCCATCTGCGGATTTTTCTTTTATCTTTGTTGCCTTCCCTTTCTATGCGTATCCATTTTAACGTAGATTGTGTGCGCTATCTCATCACGTGAAAAAAGTTTAATAAATGGAATGGTAAACTATAAATTAAAGCTTCGATGTTTGTCATTCTTAGTACGTTTCTGTTCAACGTTAGTCTTACAGCAATTACCAAATGTAGTTATTGAAACCGATGATGATCACTGAAGCGGATCCGAGTAGGAACTCTTTAAAAACGGCGTATTCGGGGCTGCAGCCGAACGCTGTGGATTCAAACGAATTGACCTGCAGCATGGAGATGAAAAAAGTTTTCTTCCTGGTGAACACGAGAGTACAACTAGCAGTTCAAAAGAAGGCTGTATTCAATAAATTGCTTCGGAATAAAGAGCCTTGTCCTAGAATGCGATATGTAGAAGCGCGCAAGACTAAAGAAGCGATTAAAGCTAAAGCTAATTTCTGAGAGAATTTCGGTGAGGTATTGGAGTCGAATTTCCACACAGCAAGCAAGGCATTCTGGCAGATTATCCGCCTGCACCGAATTTAGAAAAAGGGCAGTCTAAGACCCTT